TCACTGCGCTCCCAGCACCGCACTCTCCCGAGTGCACCACGGGGTTGGCCCCAAACAGTGTATTCTAAAAACGGCAACGAGAGGAATCCTTTAGAAGTGTAAGTCACATTATGTTGCTTATTGTGCAAAACTCTCCACTGGCTCCCATCACAGGGAATAAAATCCTGATCCTTGCTGTGGCCCTGAGTGATCTGGGCCCTGCCCACCCCTGTGGCCACCTTCCCTCCACTGTACTCTCTCTGTGATGCTCCTAAAATGCTCCCAGCTATTCCCACCCCAGGGCCTTTGCTTGGGCTGTTCTCTTGGCCTGGGACATTTTTCCTCAGCTTTTTGCGTGGCCTGCTCCTTCACTCCATTCAGCTCTCTGCTCAAATGTCCCCTCCTCAAGGTAGCTCTCTGTGAAAGGCAGCTTCTCAGACGTCCCCAAGGGTCCCCACCTCCTTGTGTAACCAGGTTGACCTGCTTCTAACTAATAGAATTCTTCACTCCATTCAGCTCTCTGCTCAAATGTCCCCTCCTCAAGGTAGCTCTCTGTGAAAGGCAGCTTCTCAGATGTCCCCAAGGGTCCCCACCTCCTTGTGTAACCAGGTTGACCTGCTTCTAACTAATAGAATTCAGTAAAAGCAATGGATGTCTCTTTCAGTATCAGGTCACAAGAAGACTGGGACGCCTACCTTGCTCATCTCTCACTCGCTTGCTCCGAGGGGAGCCAGCTGCCATGCTGTGAGCTGTCCTGTGGAAAGGCCCACGTGGTGAGGAGTTGAGAGAGGCCCCAGCCCTAAGATGTCACCACAGCCTCGGCTGACACCTTCACTGCAGCCTGGGAGAGACCCTGATCCAGAGGACCCAGGTAAGCTGCACCCAGATTCCTGACCCACAGAAAAAGTGAGACCATAAATGTCTGTTGTTTAAAGCTGCAAAATTCTGGGGGTAATTCGTTATGCGGCCGTGGATAACATACACCTTCCCTAACCCCCCGTCCCCCATCACTTTCTATCCCCTTACCCAGCTTTATTTTTTTCTGCAGCACTAGTTGCCACGTGATGTCACATTGGTTTGTCTGTCCCCTGCGCTGGAGGTCGACCTCATGGGGCCAGTCTCGCTCATCTCAGTCCCCTCAGTGCCCAGCCAGGTACCCAGCCCCGGGCAAAGACTCAGGGATTACTCACTGAATGAATGAACAGGGAAGGAACGCAGGACACTCACAATGCCACAGCTCACAAAAGCCCGTGGTCGGGGGCTGAGAATGGGGGAGGCTGGCTTACCCCAATCCCAGCTGCCCCAGGGGTCACTGTCCACTCTAAGCAGGGACTGGGGACCCTGGTCTTCTTCCTCTTTAGAACAATGTTGCCCCAGGACCTTGTTCCTGGAGGTCAGAGCCCAGGGTTCAGGCTCTCATGGTACCCGGGGGAGAACTAGTCCCAGCCCCGCACTTCACCCAGACCATACTATTCTGATTGTCCCATGCCCTCTGGATGTAAGGCCTATTTTCTGCCGTTTGATATGGAGATTTGCTAAATGCCTCGCTTAGAGTGATCTAATTTTTATACCCTTGTCAGACTTTTCACAAAAAAATTTTGATAAGAAAAGAATCCTATTCCAATCCCACATGTCCCAACTTTTGTTTGGAAAACAGTCCCTGTGCCCATAAAAAGGAAAGGACTGCTAAGTCCAATGCCCTTCTGGCCCTGTCCCAATGGGCCCCAGGCTGTGGCAGGGGCTGAGAGGCTGGGGCACATTCCAGCAAAAACACTGGGCCCCAGTTGGAACCCAGAGCCCAGTCTGGGTCGGGCACAGCACTGGCCCTGTGCCCACCTAACTGAGCCATTTCCTCCTAGACTAGGAAACTGAGCCTAGTTTCCTGCCCAGAGGGAACGGAGCACACTCCAAGCAGGGGTGGGCTGGGTCCTGTGCTGGGGGAGGGGATTCCACAGGCATTACCCCCACCTCAGCTGCCCACTCTGGGCTGAGAGGCCTGTCCTGGTGGTAGGGCTGTGAGCAGGGCTCAGGGGCTGGGCTCCAGAGGTCTTAAGGGAGGCCATTCTTGGGAGGATGAGCTGAAACCAGCCTGCCTGTATGTATCCCAGGTGTGCTCTGGGGTGGGGAGTGGAGAATCCAAGGCCAGCCCCTGCCTGCTCCCAAGAAGCAGCTTTGGATGACTGTCGTGGCCTTTGCTGAGAGGCAAGAATCCATCAGAGCCTAGAATCCTCCAAGTACCTTCTTCAGGCCTTACCTCCTCCCTAAGGCCGCTCCCAGGCAACCCTAACTCTCACACCCCATGGAAGCCCATTGGCTGGGAGGCTCCTTTGCTCTGAGGGGCCTCTCCTGGCCAAGGGCCATGAGTCGGAGCCCTCAATCCCCATCGAACCAAATTGCCCTGGTGGACGGGGTGCCTGGGCCAGGAGAATGTGGCTGTGGCAGAGTATTTCAAGGCCTACCAGGAATAGACCTGCTGTATTTCTCATGCCCATCTCTGTTAATCTCCCTGGTTGCGAACCTTCAACAAGAAGAGAGGAGCAGGGAGCTTCAAAAGCACTTGAGCTTGGGGGTCACCTGGATTCTAATCCAGGCTTTGCCACTCACCATCTGTGTGCCTTTGAGCAAGTTACTTAACTTTTCTGAGAGTCAGTTTCTCAATCTGTAAAAAGGGATAACAGTACCTGACTCTTGGTGCTGACATCTAAATGAAATAATAAAAGTGCCCGTCACGGGCCGGCCCGGTGGCGCACTGCTACAGTGCACCGCTTGGGAAGTGCGGCAGCGCTCCCG